TACAGTAGAAAGTTCTCCTATACTTTAAAAAATTTGGCAGCTGCCACAGCATGTCTATGCTAGTATTTAGTGTGAGATAATATATCTGATCTAAAATACAATTATATATTTAAACTTAGTAAGTGATATATGTTAGTTTAAGGATAATAAATAAAATAATGTACTTGTTCTGCAAAGACAACCATGATCTCCCAGGTCTTTGCCACCTAAACAAGTGGGAACCATGGTGTTGTTAGTGGTAAAGAACTGTCCAAGCTTTCTTTTTTTTTTTAAACCAGAATTATTTATTTATTTATTCTTCTGAGACATGGTCTGGCTCTGTCACCCAGGCTGGAGTTCAGTGGCATGATCTTAGCTCGCTGCAGCCTCCACCTCCCAGGTTCAAGTAATTCTCCTGCCTCAGCCTCCCAAGTAGCTGGGATTACAGGTGCACACCACCATGCCCGGCTAATTTTTGTGTTTTTAGTACAGACAGTGTTTCACCATGTTGGCCAGGCGGCCTCCCAAAATGCTGGGATTACAAGGCGTGAGCCACCGCTTCCGGCCTCCACTCATACTAATCTGGAGACAGTGCGAAGAATATATTGGCTAGAGCCAAGGAGTGAGTCCATTTAGATCATTGCAATCATAGTAGTCAGGCACGGGCCAGTGGCGCAATGGATAACGCGCCTGACTACAGATCAGAAGATTCACAGTTGTCTATGTATGAGATAATTGAGAGCTTATAAAATGGTAGAAATGAAAGTAGATGAGAGACATTGTATAGGAGGAATTTCATGACGTGGTGATGGACTGGATATGTGTGTATTGGTGGGGAGATCCAAAGGATCTGAGTTTGAGTGGTTTGGAAAAAAATTCGATATCTTGGAAGTATGACATTTAAGCAGTGATAGGTTTGACCCCAGGTATATTGGGTCAAACCCAATATACCTGGGGTCAAACCTATACACAAGAAGAGTCCTAACATTGTATTTTCCTTAGTGGAGAAATGTTCTTTTTTCTTTTCTCATCTTTTTCTCTCTCTCTCACCCAGAAATGTTTGTTCATTTGGTTGCTTGGTTGGTTTTGTTTTTTGAAATGAAATCTCACTTTGTCTCCCAGGCTGGAGTACAGTAGCACAATCTCCGCTCAGTGCAGCCTCCGCCGCTCAGGTTCAAGCAATTCTCCTGCCTCGGCCTCTCAAGTAGCTAAGGTTACCAGTACCTGCCACCACACCTGGCTAATTTTGTATTTTTAGTAGAGATGGGGTTTCACCGTGTTGGCCAAGTTGCTCTCAAACTCCTGACCTCCGGTGATCCGCCCACCTCAGCCTCCCAAAATAATTGGATTACAGACATGAGCCACCGTGCCAGCCCCAGAAATGTTCTTAAATTAATGGCATTTAGACATAACCTCTCTGCAACAAATGTTTTAGAAGGTGAAGGGATTGGGCACAAACATATTCCTAAGAGAATATGGATAGGCAAAAGTGTGGGCATTGATATGTTCATGTTTCTGGCAATCCTCTCTTTTTAATCCTACCTGCTGACATTCTTCTAGGTGAGAACACAGTCTATAAAAGCTTCGGCTCCAAAGTCTTCCCCAACTTTGTTGTGCTCTTTGCTCCCTCACTGGAGTAAACAGAATCTAGATGAATGTGCAAAGGGATAACAAGAAGAAATGATACTTTGATTATAGGCTGACTTGTGTGTCTCAGGATTTTATGTCTTAGAAACATTGAGATCCCAACAAGTTGGTATGTCATTTTGATATATCATGTTTGCCCCAAATTAGTAAATGTTGTTATAAAACTCATATATGGGAATGTTCTTATTAATTAATTAAACTCTTCTTTTTTTTTTTTTTTTTTTTTGAGATGGAGTTTCGCTCTTGTTACCCAGGCTGGAGTGCAATGGCGCGATCTCGGCTCACCGCAACCTCCGCCTCCCAGGTTCAGGCAATTCTCCTGCCTCAGCCTCCTGAGTAGCTGGGATTACAGGCACGCGCCACCATGCCCAGCTAATTTTTTTTGTATTTTTAGTAGAGACGGGGTTTCACCATGTTGACCAGGATGGTCTCGATCTCTCGACCTCGTGATCCACCCGCCTCGGCCTCCCAAAGTGCTGGGATTACAAGCTTGAGCCACCGCGCCCGGCCTAAACTCTTCTTATTTAACACTGCTATGTTTCCATTTAATATTTAAGGCTAGGCGCAATGCCTCATACCTGTAATCCCAGCACTTTGGGAGGCTGAGGCAGGCAGATCACTTTATGTCAGAAGTTCGAGACCAGCCTGGCCAAGATGGTGAAACCTTGTCTCTACCAAAAATACAAAAATTAACCGGGCGTGGTGGCACACGCCTGTGATTCCAGCTACTTGGGAGGCTGAAGTATGAGAATCACTTGAACCCAGGAGGTGGAGGTTGCAGTCAGCCAAGATCGTGCCACTGCACTCCAGCTTGGGTGACAAAGCGAGACTCTGTCTCAAAACAAACGAACAAAAATATTTAATCACCTTTGAATCTAAACTTTCAGTAGTATAGTGTTCATAGAAACTCACAGACTATGCATATGCAATCATTGAGATTGTCATGTTCCCCTTTATAAAGTAATATCTTCTTCCATTTCCTACTTTATCAGTTGGCATTTATTTTATTTTAATTACTATTTTTTGAGACGGAGTCTTGCTCTGTTGCCCAGGCTGGAGTGCAACGGCGTGATCTCGGCACACTGCAACATCCGCCTCCTGGGTTCACGTGATTCTCCTGCCTCAGCCTCTTGAGTAGCTGGGATTACAGGTACCCACCACCACGCCCAGCTAATTTTTTTTTTTTTTTTTTTTGAGACGGAGTTTCGCTCTTGGTACCCAGGCTGGAGTGCAGTGGCGCGATCTCGGCTCACCGCAACCTCCACCTCCTGGGTTCAGGCAATTCTGCCTCAGCCTCCTGAGTAGCTGGGATTACAAGCACGTGCCACCATGCCCAGCTAAGTTTTTTTGTATTTTTAGTAGAGACGGGGTTTCACCATGTTGACCAGGATGGTCTCTATCTCTTGACCTCGTGATCACCCACCTCGGCCTCCCAAAGTGCTGGGATTACAGGCTTGAGCCACCGCACCCGGCTTAATTTTTGTATTTTTAGTAGAGACAAGTTTCATCATGTTGACCAGGATGGTGGTGAACTCCTGACCTCAGGTGATCCACCCACCTTGGTAGTCGGCATGTATGATGGAGTACGATGGAAAGCCTACTGACCTGACAGTAGGATATCTGGGTTCTAGCCCCAGCATAACTCCCGTTGTTGATCTTCTGGGTCCCAGTTTCACCGTCTATAAAACAGAATGATACTTGCTTATATCACAGGCCTGTTACAAGTTTCAAAAAGTGTTAATATGGAGGCTTCTTGCATTAACTCTTGCATTTTATTTTTTTCATGATTAAAAAAAGTACCAGCCAGGCGCAGTGGCTCATGCCTGTAATCTCAGCACTTTGGGAGGCCAAGGCAGGCGGATCACGAGGTCAGGAGTTCGAGACCAGTCTCGCCAACATAGTGAAACCCCCATCTCTACTGAAAATACAAAAAAAGTATTCTGGTGTGGTGGTGTGCGCCTGTAATCCCAGCTACTCAGGAGGCTGAGGCAGGAAAGTCACGTAAACCCTGGAGGTGGAGGTTGCAGTGAGCCGGATCATGCCAATTACACTCCAGCCCGGGCAAGGGTGACAGACTCCTCAAAACAAGAAAAAAAAGTATTATAACAAATGTATAAGACATGTTTATATGCTTGTTAAATCCCTGGAACTGTTATTGTGCTTAAATTTCACAACTGTATTTCCTAAAGTTAATTTTCAACCCATTCTGTAAGTTTTTGGCTTCTAATTCAGTTAGAGGAATTGGAATTCTATGAATATTTTCTGTGAGAATAATATCGTAAGCATGAATAATAGTACTAAATTATTATGTAAAGATTTAGTGTGTTGTTCAGATTAGGAAAGTATACCTATGGAGTTCTCTATAATTGATTTCTTTCATTTATTTGAACATCATTTTTTTTTTTTTTTTTTGAGACAGAGTTTCACCCTTGTTGCCCAGGCTGGAGGTTAATGGCGCGATCTCAGCTCACCGAAACCTCCACCTCCCGGGTTCAAGCAATTCTCCTGCCTCAGCCTCCTGAGTAGCTGGGATTACAAGCATGCACCATCAAGCCTGGCCAATTTTGTATTTTTAGTAGAGACGGGGTTTCTCCACGTTGGTCAGGCTGGTCTTGAACTCCCGACCTCAGGTGATCCGCCCGCCTTGGCCTCCCAAAGTGCTGGGATTACAGGCGTGAACCACTGTGCCTGGCTATTTGAACATCTTATGCTCCACAACTCAGGAGGCTCATCAAACCATCTGTGTCCTCATTTCTGCTATTCTAGATACACATTCATCTTTTTAAATCATCAACAGAAATATCGGTAAAAATAAAATGAGATTCTAGTTTTCTGAAGCTTCTTGAAAGTCAGTATAGTATATTGAAAAGATAGGGTGTCTTTGTCTAGGCTTTAGAGTTCCAGGCCTGTCTCTGCAGGTAACTAGTTACAAGAACTTTTTCTGGGCCTTGTTTTCCCATTATAAAAGTGGCTTGCACTAGACCTTTTTTCCATTTTTAACACTCTGATTCTTTTTTAACTCTTCTAAGTACCTATCTGAGGAAGCCAATGAAAAGATTAGAGCTTATACTAATTTTTTTGAGATACTATTTATTACACTTGATTTATACCTAAGATAACCACATAATTTGCTGTTCAAGCAAGAGGAAACTTTTGAGAGTGAAAGAGAGTACTGTTAGTAATTATGCCAGGACAACAGCTTTAAACCAGGATGTCTCAGATAAACTAGAGTGTCTGGTCACCCTGATGTACACCCCATGTGTGGTTCTGTTAACTGCATTGTTGGCCAAAGAAGAGTTACCTGATTATTGAGTTTTAATTCCTTTTCATGGTTTCCTTGTTTTGTTTTTGTTTTTATTTTTTGATTCTCGTAGATCCAGTGTGTGTGGAGAGTAATACAGCATCATGCCAACAGTCCCCAGCCGGTAAAAAAGGGATGTTCACAGACGACTTACACAAGCTGGTGGATGACTGGACAAAGGAAGCAGTAGGAAATTCTCTTATTAAGCCAAGTTTAAACCAACTTAAACAAAATCAACACAAATTAGAGACAGAAAATTGGAACAAAGTACATGAAGTAAGTTGTTTATACCCGATTCACTTTATTTACGAGAACTAAAACCATAAAAATGGATGCACTTATGTCTATAGTTACGGTTACTGTGGTATGACTTGATAACATAGAGACTTTGATCCTTGTTTAGATTCATTATGTCTTTGAGCAGATTGTCTTTTAGACCATGAGTCAGTAAACTTCTGAGGGGAAGGAGCCAATTCGTTAATATTTTAGGCTTTTCAAGCTATACTGTTACAAATACTCTGTTACACAACTCCGTTAGAGTGCGAAAGCAGCCATAGAAAATATGTAACCAGCCGGGCGTGGTGGCTCAAGCCTGTAATCCCAGCACTTTGGGAGGCCAAGGCGGGTGGATCACGAGGTCAAGAGATCAAGACCATCCAGGTCAACATGGTGAAACTCCGTCTCTACTAAAAATACAAAAAATTAGCTGGGCATGGTGGCGCGTGCCTGTAATCCCACCTACTCAGGAGGCTGAGGCAGGAGAATTGCCTGAACCCAGGAGGCGGAGGTTGCAGTGAGCCGAGATCGCGCCATTGCACTCCAGCCAGGGTAACAAGAGCGAAACTCCGTCTCAAAAAAAAAAAAAAAAGAAAGAAAGAAAATATGTAACCAAATGAACATGGCTTTGTTCCATTAAAACTATTCATGACCCGGCACAGTGGCTCACGCTTGTAATCCCAACATTTTTGGGAGGCTGAGGCAGGTAGATCACGAGGTCAAGAGTTGATCTACCAGCCTGGCCAAGATGGTGAAACCCCATCTCTACTGAAAATACAAAAATTAGCTGGGCGTGGTGGCGGGCACCTGTAATCCCAGCTACTCTGGAGGCTGAGGCAGAGAATTGCTTGAACCCAGGAGGCAGAGTTCACAGTGAGCTGAGATCGTGCCACTGCACTCCAGCCTGAGTGACAGAGAGAGACTCAGTCTAAAAAAACAACAACAACAAAAACTTTTTTTCACAAAAAGAGGTGGTGGGCCGTAGTTTGCTGACTCTTGTTTTAGACTGTTGGTTTTTTGGTTTTTTTTGACAGAGTCTCGCTCTGTCCCCAAGGCTGGAGTGCATTGGCACGATCTCAGCTCACTGCAACCTCCACCTCCCAGGTTCAAGCAATTCCCCTGCCTCAGCCTCCCAAGTAGCTGAGACTACAGGTGTGCACCACCAGGCCCAGCCAATTTTTTTTTTTTTTTTTTTTTTTGTATTTTAGTAGAGTCGGAGTTTCATCATGTTGGCCAGGATGTTCTCAATCTCCTGACCTCGTGATCCACCTGCCTTGGCCTCCCAAAGTGTTGGGATTACAGGTGTGAGCCACCGCACGTGGCTAGACTGTTCTATTTTTTTTTTTTTTTTTAATCCGGCAAGTATCAAAGAAGAAAGCATCTGGAATGAAGGTTAATTCAGTCCTGTGTTGCAAGAGTTTGGGTTTTAAGGAAAAGCTTTCCTATGTTTCATGTCAGTATTCTTAGCTCTAATAAGTTATTTGTTCATTATGAAAAAGAATTATAAAGCTTTTTAAGCTAGAATATTATAAGAGGTGTTTTAAAGACAAGATGCCTAGTTATTGCATGTGGCCTTAGTCAGGTGTGCATGCAATGAAAAGAAGAAAGATGCCTACAGTGAATCTGGAGTAGGAAGAAGTCAGGCTTATAGAACAGCATACACAGTATAATATAATTTATGCAAAAGTATATACATTAGATATGCATAGAGAAATACGAAATCCATGAAAAATATGCTGGATGGTGGAATTTGAGCCTTATTTTACTTTGCGCATTTCTGTGTTTTTGTATTTTTAAAGTAAGTGACATTTTGTTTCAAAATGAGTAAACCTATTAAAATGTGAATCAGGGCTTAGAATTTTAACCATCATAATTGAAAGAGATTTATCTCTGTGTGTTACATTTGTGTACATGTATGTATGTATATATAGTCATATAGTTTGTTAAAGAAATAATACATTTATTGTTAATATTGCATAAAAGTGTTCAAAATTCTCAATTTCCCAAACTAGTGAGCAGTGTATCTCCTTGGGAACTCTGTATTTATCTTACTCGTGGCACCAATTTATACACAGATAGCATCATCGTAAAAATTGGAAGCCTTTAGAGGCAAATTTCAAGACATAAATGCATTTGTACTGCCAGTGAGAGAACCTCTGAGTACTGTGTGAATGGAGGCTTTTGTTGACTCTAGTTGGAGGGCGGTTTATTGGAGTATAATGGAGGATGTTTGGAGGAAGGGTGAATAGAAAATGGTGTGTGAATAAAAGTAGTGAAGGTCATTTAACAGACTTGGGTTCTGATGTCAGCTCAGTCACTTACTAGTTGTGTGACTTTAAACAAGTCATTTGATCTCCCTGTGCCTTAGTTTTCATGTCTTTCAAGCAGAATACCTGCCTTACAGGATTGCTGTGAGGATTAAATGAGACAACACGTGTTACATAGTAGGTACCCTTTATATGGTAACTAGTTTTGTATTTGTAGGTTCAGTTGGTTTTATCTGTTGTGTGGAGAGCCCATCTCACTAATGCTCTTGCATTTTACTGTTCTGTATCCTTACTTAGAAATACTTGTTTGCTTAATAGTTATGTACGAAGCCCTCTGCTAGACATGGGTTTGGTGAGTAAAAACAAGTATGGTCCCTATGCTCATGGAATTTACATTCTGCCAAGACAGTTAGACATAACAGAATTTCATCTACAAATATAAAATTGCAACTGGAATAAGAACTACAAAAGAAAGATACAGGTTACAATAAGGGAAATTTGACCTAGTAAAGGAAAGTCAAGGAAAGCTTCACTGAGAAAGTGATGATTAAGCAGAGCTCTGAAGGATGAATAGGTGTTAGCTAGGTGAAGAGGAGGGAATAATGATTCCATGCAGAAAGGACAGCAGACGCATGCAGGGATTGCAAGTAGGCCAGTTTGGCTGAAGTGAAGAGAGCAAGGAGGAGTTAGTGCACAATGGATCTAAGGTAGACGGAGTCTTAAAAGTAGTAATGAGCCGGGCGCGGTGGCTCAAGCCTGTAATCCCAGCACTTTGGGAGGCCGAGGCGGGTGGATCATGAGGTCAAGAAATCGAGACCATCCTGGTCAACATGGTGAAACCCCGTCTCTACTAAAAATACAAAAAATTGCCGGGCACGGTGGCTCAAGCCTGTAATCCCAGCACTTTGGGAGGCTGAGGCGGGTGGATCCCGAGGTCGAGAGATCGAGACCATCCTGGTCAACATGGTGAAACCCCGTCTCTACTAAAAATACAAAAAACTAGCTGGGCGTGGTGGCGCGTGCCTGTAATCCCAGCTACTGAGGAGGCTGAGGCAGGAGAATTGCCTGAACCCAGGAGTCGGAGGTTGCGGTGAGCCGAGATAGTGCCATTGCACTCCAGCCTGGGTAACAAGAGTGAAACTCTGTCTCGAAAAAAAAAAAAAAAAAAAATTACCTGGGCCTGGTGGCGTGTACCTGTAGTCCCAGCTACTCAGGAGGCTGAGGCAAGAGAATTGCCTGAACCCAGGAGGCAGAGGTTGCGGTGAGCCAAGATCGTGCCATTGCACTCCAGCCTGGGTAACAAGAGCAAAACTCCGTCTCAAAAGGAAAAAAAAAAGAAGAAAAAAGTGGTAATGATAGGGAATTTCATCTGTATTTTAAGAAAGATAAAAAGCCATTTAAGCCCTAGTGTTGACATGATGATCAGACTTGTTTTTTGAAAAAACGACTCTGACTCAAGCAAGAGAAAAGGGTTATTTATCGGAGGTAAGGGTAGATGTTGGCAGACCGGTTAAGAGCTAGTCATGGTAAGCCGGACGCAGTGGCTCACACCTATATCTCAGCACTTTGGGAGGTTGAGGTGGGTGAATCCTAAGATCAGGAGTTCAAGACCATTCTGGCCAACATGGTGAAACCCCGTCGCTAGCAAAAATACAGAAATTAGCCGGGCGTGGTGGCGCTACTCAGGAGGCTGAGGCAGGGGAATCATTTGAACCCAGGCAGTGGAGGTTGCAGTTAGCTGAGGTCATGCCACTGCACTCCAGCCTGGGCGACAGAGCAAGACTCCGTCTCAAAAAAAAAAAAAAAAAAAAAATTAGTCATGGTAACTCTTAACTGGTCTGGAAGATGGGAGAAGTTGAGTTGAAGAGAAGTGAACAGATTCCAAAAAATGTTTAAGAGATAAAATGGACAAGATTTGGTGATGGAATGGATGTACGGTGAAGGGGAGGTATGAAGGCTAGGTTTCTGGCTTACATAACTGGATACTATTCTAGTGTACCAACCACCGAGATGGGGAATGTGAGCAGACAGTGTGCTTTTGTCGGGGAAAAGCACACATTTGGTTTTTAGACATTTGTTTCTGAGATGCCTTTGAAATATCAAAGAGAAAATGTATAGCCTCTCCAATTTGTCTTTTTAAAAAAAGCAGGTTATTATCTATAAACTAATAATGTTTATCATATAATTTAATCAGTGCAGAAAAGTACAAATTTTAAAATACCACCTTCAAATCCCACCACCCAGAAATAATTTTCATTAACTTTAGATAAACATCATGTCAAGTATCTTTCTATGTATGTATGCATGGAAATAACTTTATGAAAAGGTAAGGCAGGGCAGTTCTGAAGATGCCATTAATTAAAGTACATAATTATGGTTAGCATACTCCAAAAATGGGAGTCACTGATAGTAATAATAGGAATAGTAAACCAAAAAGACTAGGAAGGAATATTTATTTGTGCAGCAGCAGTAGGAAAAAAAAAGAATAGGAAGGAATATATAGATTGATAAAAGCATATACCAAATAAACTGATCTTTTGTTTTTATTTTTGTTTCTGTTAGAATACTCCATCTACTATGGGCTACACACCAACATGGATTTCTTCTCTGTCCCAAATCCGTGGAGCTGTCCCAACTTCCTTGCCACAAGGACTCTCACTCCCTTCATTTCCTGGGCCATTATCATCATACGGAATGCCCCATGTTTGTCAGTATAATGCTGTGGGGGGGACGGCATATCCAGTCCAGTGGGTAGGAATTTCAGGAACAACACAACCATCTATAGTAATTCCCACCCAATCTGGGGGACCATTCCAGCCAGGGATGAATATGCAGCCATTTCCAACTTCATCAGTGCAGAATCCTGCCACAATCCCTCCTGGGCCTAAATGAATCATAGTAGATGATAAAGAAAAGGGAGGTTTCTTCTGAATTGTTTTCAGGACACCTAAGATATTAAAGTTTGTTCCTCTTGGGTTCTGTCATATATTCTCTCATTTGAGTTTACTTTAGACTATATATTTTTTGTTTCAGTGTGATATTTGATACAGCTCATCATTCTGCAGAAATGGTGCAGTTTGCACATAGAACACTGCGCACAGAAAAGTTTTTTCACTTCAAATTCTATCCTCTTTGATACTTGATTTTTTAAAAAATACTGTTCAGAATGCTTTAATAAGCTCAGCTTGAGCATTACCATTTCCAGGATACTTTCCTTGAATTACTGAGAAGCCCCCCAACCCTACCCCCCCTTTTTTTTAACTGCTGCTATCTGCAGCTGGATACTTTTCTTTAAAAATGTTTAAAAATTATTTAGATTGATTCTCCCCAAATGTGGATGAACTGAGACCTTCCATCAGCCAGAGTCTTATGGGATCTTCACATGTTTGTCTTAGGTTTACCTTTCACAGAAGGCAGGGTAACTTGCTGCAGGAAACGTTTTGGTGTATAAAATTAGAACCTTTTTTTTTTTTTTTTTTTTTTTTTGAGATGGAATCTCTCTCTGTCGCCCAGGCTGGAGTGCAGTGGTGTGATATTGGCTCACTGCTGCAACCTCTGCCTCCTGGGTTCAAGCGATTCTCCTGCCTCAGCCTCCTGAGTAGCTGGGACTAGGCGCCTGCCACCATGCCCGGCTAATTTTTCTATTTTTAGTAGAGATGGGGTTTGACTCTGTTGGCCAGGCTGGTCTTGAACTCCTAACTTGTAATCTACCTGCCTCGGCCTCCCAAAAAATTAGAATAATTTTGTCAACCAATACAGAACATGAGCCCTTTTTAATGTGATTTCCCATCATCACAGCAGTAGGATGAAGCCTTGTTTTGGGTGAGGCAGAGGGAAAGGGAAAAAAAACAGAACTGTAACAGTTCCTTGATTCTGCAGATAATGCTGCTCTTTTAAGGATTTCAGTAATAATTCAAAGCAGCAATCTCCTTGTTTCTCACATGCATACTACATTGGTTTGGAGCATCTGAGAGACGTTGGTTTGGCTTGCATTCTTTTGCAAGGCATATATTGCAGCTAATATGATAAATCTCATTTGGGGGGAATCTTTGTATTCCTAACAAAGGGGATTAAAGTTACACCTCAGTCCATTCTTCTGAAGTGAAATTTACTTGACACAGTAGGTTTTGAGACTTACACATGAAACACTGGCTTTACAGGGTTTTAAGAGATGTGGGATATACACTGTTCTGCAGTGCGATAGTAGACCCTAGAAGGAGACTATTTAAGTTGTCCTTAGCTCTTTTAATTACCATTTTTAGTTGTTATAATTTCTGTTTAGTATCTATAGTATCTTAGATGATTTTAGATCTTAAATAAGTTTGGCAGCCTCTTTAGAATCTGAGAGAGATCACTGTCAAGTTGCACTTTACTGGGTTTTATCCAGTTTTAGGAGGAGGGGAGGCAATGTCAAAATGTACACCTTTGGTTTTTAAGAAGGTTAACTATAATAATCTTAAAGGCTAGTCACAGGGTTACCTAATGCTCAGTCTGTGAAACCCAAATAGAATTATTAAAATGGTATTTACCAACTAAGTATTCATGTTCAAACTACTTACCTTCCACTCTGAAGACTTCAAGGTCATTTCCAATACACATTTACCTAATTAGGAGTTCTGTCTGCTAGTAAACATTCCACGCTGTTACCTGACATTACCGTGAACAGATTTTCCTCCACATTCTAACAATTGTACCCCATGGGCTTGCCAGGTAATGAGGAAAACTTAATGGGTGTACTTTTTTTTTTTTTTTTCACAGTCTACTTTGTAACATTCAGTACCTCCTTTCCAAAAAAAAAAAAAAAAAAAAGTGTCTTATGTTGCTTACCTGAGGATCACATCCATTATCACAAAGATTCTGTCACTATAATTTGAGGCATCTAGGGCAGCATTTTGAGAATTGCTGTTGATAAAATCCACTTTCTTTTCATAGAACATGCTCTGTTTTGTACGAGTCCACATGTTACATACAGATTCTTTAAATTTCTTATACAGTATTGGTTTGCAATTTAAAGTGATTTTAGGACATTAGTGTAATGCAAATGCTTGCATTGCACTGTTTTCCATAAATATAAAAACAATGCTCCTAAAATCCATAATTCTTTAAAACTGCTTGTGTGTCATTATAAAAGTTGGCTTTGTGTAGTTACACTGAGACATACAACCTAGAAAGTGAAAATACTGCAGATTTTAGGACCCCTTCTTCTCTAGTCACAATCATTTTAAACAGTGTACCCCAGGATGAAAAAAGCTCCGTGGCTGGCATGTACAATGACATGTATGAATGACTGCTCTATACCATACGTTCGGCCTTTGGCCACCACCACCTCTATTCCACATACAATTCATCATTCTTGTTTGCCTGCAGACTCTTGCAGTGCCTTGTAATAGTTACAATCTTTTCAGGTTTTTGCTGGAAAGAAAAGTAGTCTTCTAAAGTTTGAAGATGGTGAATAGCATACTGCTGTCTCCATGCCGACTGCAGTAACCGGGTTATCATATATGTAGACGTTATGTATATGTAACATGTGTACATTTAAAAATACCGAAAAAAAGTGAGCTTGTGCAGAAATGGAGAAAACAATGTTATTCTCATCACCGTGGGGTTTTATTGAAATTATTTTTTCCCATGACTTACATGTTTGGTTCAGATTATAGTCACTTTGACTGTAAATACTGGCTCGTTTTCTACGCAGGGGTTTTGCATTATTTCATAATTTTGCTAAATCATATAATAGTGCTATTTTCATCCTTGCCTGAGGTACTTTTCCTCCCCAGAAATAATTAACTTGAGGTAAAGCTCAGAAATTCCCTTCTTTCTTAACAAAGAGCCTACTATATAAAAAGGGCCCTTCCTTTCCAAAAAACACACAAACCTGTCCTTTTCCTTTTCCTTCTTGTAGAGGAGAAAATGGTTGTACTAACCATCCTGCTCGTAGAGTTTATTTGGAGGACAGTCTTTATGTCCAGCCACCATGTTTACTTCTCAAAGTGCAAGTCTGATGAATAGTACTGTATCTCCATATGTGGCAATGTGAGCATTTCATCATGAAGTACCTGCTGCTATGTCTGTGAAGTTGGGTGTAACATCGTAAGAGTATGAAACCAGTATTGGTGTAAATCTAATGAAAATAACCCTATGTATATTTGTAGCAGTCTTGAATCTCTATTTAAGGTAATTTGCTGTAATATAACAAATATTCACTCTGTTTTTCATCCCTTCCTTGCCAGTTTCATATCAAGCATGAATTCTAATGGTTTGACAGCAAAATCATCTGTGAAAGTTTAAAAGGCACTTTTCTGCTGTGATTTTTGGATTGAGTGTGGAGTGTTATGTACAGTTTGATGAGATGAATCATTTTAGAACCCCAGATTTAATTCTAGTCCAATTAATTTTGTTTAACTACCTCGTTTTCAGTGCTGTTTTGGGTGCACATGTAAACACTGCCTGTGAAACATGCTTTTTTTGCCTTGATTCTCAGTAGTCTTTCGGATTATAAATCTGGTCTGCCTCTTTTTCCCAGTGCTAGCCAAGAGTTTGAGGTGAGAGGGACCGTCACTCTGCCACCAGTCTGTGTTTAAGTGGAGAGCCATGTGCTTCTGTGAAATATGCTTTGGGGATTTGGGGGTGGGGAGCAGAACAATAATTGAAATTGGTGGCAGTATAGAACTTAGGTGGAGGAGTTAGCTAAAAAATAAACAAATGGTAAGAAAGTACCTAAATTAGACAATCCAGTGCCTATAACTTTGCATTTTTTATTAGAGATGCATTTCTCGTCTGTGTGCCTAAAGGGCTATGGGTTGAAATTGCTTTAACTACCACGGTGAAATATTTGACAAATCCTTCAGCAATGGCCTATCATTCAACATATATTAGCACACTGCTAGGTATTTGCAGTGATATTTTGTTACCTTAGAACGGCCAAATGCGTTAGTTGATAGTAAGGGTTTTATATAACTTTATCCAATCTCTGAAGTTTATGGAGGCATTGACTTTCTTCTTTGCTGTCTTTTCTGAGTGATGAAAATGATGCATTCCTTTTTTTCTTGAAAACTCAGCAGATGTTTGTAACCAGATATTCCTTGTTTCACATGTTTACTGTGTAACACTACAGCATATTTAATACTAGTAAATACTGTATTTCAGTCATTATACATAAGTACATTCCTGAGCTCTATTTGCCATCATTTTGGGATTCTGTTGTTTCACCTTCTGTTTGGGTCAGAAAAACTTGAATTATTTGAGGTGGTATGGAGGCCATTTTCTAGACTAGATTGTTTTTGGATTCTGTAGTTTATCAAGGACTTGTTCCCACCCCCCACCCCCCACCGCCTGCCTTTGTTTAGAAGATCAATTAGAAAAGGGGGGTGGTGTGTAGAAAAGGCCTTTGATTTGATAGGTATGATTTCTAAGATTGAAATTTTTTAAAAACGCAGATTGTAAGATAGTAACACTCAAACTTAATAAAATCCTTTGAATTGAAATTTGTATCAAGTTTTTATGGAGCCAGATGCCTTCAGGTCACCCTGGAAATAGTCTTTGTATGTGAAAGATGAACACAAACATTGGTCAGGGACCCTGACATCCAATATATGAAGGAGCCTGGGATAGTAACTAAGTAACACTAAAGTTATTTTCAACTAAGATAGCTAGAAGAGTGTACACACCAACAACTCCTATTCTGGAAGGTGTTCTTTTAATTAAAAAAATTCAAACAAGGCTAAAAGTCAAGCAAGAAGGGAAGAAAGAAACCGGGCTCTGAGAAGAACGTGCCAGTGTGACATAAACTCCTCAATGTGTGCTTGTCATCCTCTAGCTTTTGTTGCGTTTAAAGTTGCATTTCTTTTCCACTCTAACTTAAGATTCGAGATTGAGGTTTGCGGTCCAGAACATTCCCTCAGCAGATATAGTGACTAACTGGCAAGTGCAGTTGTTCGAGGTCTGTCATGCTCAATCACCTAAAGCTATGATTTGTTTGAAATATTAAGCATGTAGACCTAGTGCAGCATGGGAGCCACTCAGGAAGTTTATGCAATTAATAAACTTTCATGCATAATTTACTATGAAGTATGCAGAATTTCAGCCTCTTCTCCACACTTAACATTTAGTTGTATATGTGAACTCTCCTTTATTACTTGGGGAATGTAGCATTATATAGAATGTTGTTCAACTTCACTTTAATCCTTTTTGACATTAACTTTTTTTGGTAAACCAAGTGATCTGCCTTTCAGCAACTGTCTGATTTTGGTTCTTTGAAACTGTGATTTTTATTTCATTTGTACCCAACCATTGTGAGTATTTTGTTTTGTTTCCTGGAAATTCTGTTTTGTAACAGAAAATAAAGGCTGTGTTAAATGAGTATGTTATCTTATTAAAATGCTGTCATAGTCACTGCAATCATCTGGCTAAAACTGGTTCTTCATTTACTAAATGTAATTTAGCAGATTTAGAACATTTCGTTCTGTAAACTACGCTGGCCTAAAAACTAACCAAGCAGGGTGTTACCTCTTGATTTACATACAGTTACAACAAACTGAGTTGGACTTCATTTTCACGCTTGTACATGAGTCATAATTGTAACAGTTGCTCTCCGTTACTGAACACATACTGTGCTAGCTAGGCTTTTACCTGTGATACTTTGAATTCACACAACAATCCTATAAGATAGGTCTGTTACTGTTTCCACTTACAATGCAAATTTGAGGATCAGAGAGATTAAAGAATTTACTAGGGCCACATAGTCAATGGTGAAGCCTGGATCCAAACCCAGGTCTGTCTGCCTGCACAGCTCATGGGAAGAACCCTAGGCCACCCTGATTCTCAGATGTACTGCATGCGTAATAATTCAGACACATTTAGAGTAGGCCTTCATCTAATGGGATTTGTGTGTAAACTTTTTTTTTTTTTTTTTTTTGAGACAAGGTCTCGTTCTGTCACCCAGGCTATAGTCCAGTGGTGCTATCACAGCTCACTGCAGCCTCAACCTCCTGGGTTCAAATGATCCTCCCACCTCAGCTCGCCAAGTAGCTGGGATCACAGGCACATGCCATGACACCCAGCTAATTTTTGTATTTTTCATAGAGATGGGTTTTCACCATGTTGCCCCAGGCTGGTCTTGAACTCCTGGCCTCAAGCAATCCTCCCATCTCAGCCTTCCAAAGTGCTGGGATTACAGATGTAAGCCACTGCCAGCCCGTATGTACACTTTTTATGTGTCTTTCATGAAGTTGTATCCAGTGCTTATTTCGCAGATTCAGAAGTAGGTGTTTGTGGCGCAAGCAAGGATTCAAAGTGTTCCCTATGCACAAACTTATTAAGGAGTATTTCCTTTCATGTTGATAGTGTTTATGGCCCACTTTTAGAAAAACACATATATGGAAATCTCCCACGCTTTTCATTCATCACTATGCAGTGACTTGAGAAACTCAGACTGGGTCATATCACTTGCTCATGTGATAATTTAAGTAGAAAAACTTGCATATGCTTATGCAAATCATCTTGGATGAAGACTAAGACGCCTATCAGAAGTATTCAAAATTAGATGAATGTTTTAAAAGTGCTTTTAAATATATATTATCTTGATTTATTGACCCAATGTCATAAATATGAGTCATTCTATCTTAGGTGATCCCTAAAGGGAGGCAACAAGGTACATGTGGAATAGCATGGGTTTGATTCACAGACCTCTCAAACCTGCATTTTCTTTTCTTTTTCTTTTTCTTTTTCTTTTTTTTTTTTTTTAAAGATGGGGTTTCACCATGTTGGTCAGGCTGGTCTTGAACTCCCAAC